CATGGCCACACATATGCAGAAACTAATACGGAAGTCCTAATTACAGCTTTTTGGAGTGGAACGTTATTTACGAAATTGAAAGGACACAAAGTGAATGTCCAGCAATTTAACAGGGTTGATGGATATGGAGGGTCCACCTAAGGGAGTTGGAAAACCCTGATTCCAAACCACTGCTGCACACGAGCTCTAGGATCGCAAGGGAAGAAATGGCGTGTGAACACATTGTTGACTACAGGTTGTTATGGCAGTGCATCACCTAAAGTTGCTCTACTGCCTTTTGGATCAGACCTCTAGGTCGAAGGTTTAGAGTGTGGCCCCTGCTAAAACCGCCTGCCTGCGTTTGGGCGCCTGGTCAATAACCCAGTCTATACATAAACTGAATGACCACAATTATAATATCTATGTACGCCCTAATTCTCAGTCTCACAGTTCATACTCAAAGCTGTTTATTAGTATTCACCCATACTTTACTTCGCGTCATTTGTCTATTCCTTTATTCCCATTTTGCACATTACGTTTATCCTTCATCTTCTACAGCAACTCGCCTGTGATGGGAACCCTGTTCTATCTAAACATTTTCAAGTCACTGACTGGTTGAAAGTTGAATCCTACCACATAACATATTCTGAACCAGCCATCCTGAAACCATGTATACCATTCAAACTAGCTTCCTGTAAAGTTCGCACACTAATGCATATCGGATAACAGATTGGGTTAGCTATGTCTTCACAAAGTCTCAACATCGATGTCTGTTGTCTATCCGAGACTCGTACTGAAGACTCTAGTGAAGTACTACAAGTTTGCTCTCTATCTGTTGCTTCGAAAGGCTTAGTCCACAGCGTTTATTTGGTAATTCTGTTGCTTCGTCTGGTTTAGCTGGCGTTAGTGTCGCAATGAGCGCTAGAGGTGAGACAACACGAATTGACTGGATCATCATTAACAGTCCGTCATGTGCTGTTAGATTATGACGCTCCATCAAAATTTAGAGAAAATCGGTATGAAAAACTATGTCTTTCTGTCATCTCCGTCTACGCACCAGCAGATTGCAGCCGTGATGAGTTTCGCCAACAGCTAAGTGATCTATAGAAAGTGCATCTGACAGATATTGCAGTACCATCTGGAAAACTGAATGCACACGTCGGGCGTCTGGGCACAAAAGAGAGTCGTTTGAGTGGCCAATGATGATTTTTTGGTCGCAGGTGAGCGATACATCTTGCTGATTGAACGCTATATTCGGATACTAAGCTAGTCTCGTAACCCCCAAGCTAAGTCTACACAACAACTCGAACACGAGAGAAAAGGCACAAAATATGCGATAAACACTTTACTCCAAAGGTTCATTTATGTACATAAAATATAGGGTTTTTATGGTATTTTAGAAGTCTTTGGGTTTTCCTGAAAATTCTAGAATGCTACTAAACATAGTAGCAGTGTAGTAATCAGAAACTGCACATGTGATTTCACTTTCGTGATGTTTCTAGCAAAACTTCTAATGAAATGATGATTGGATAAAATGCTTCTTAGTGTTTCCTGAGCCTTTCTTATCTATTGCGATAAAATTTCTGGATCACCCTAACAGTCAGATAATGGTGATCGTCTATTGTAACTGTTTGCATACTAAAACCTGTTTCTGGTAAGCATTAGCTATCGACACACTCATTGTCGATGTTCCTCTTGGTAACTCAAGCCCAAACTCAGATCGATTACAGCGTGATCAGCTACCGCTGGTATGGTTGTGTACAAGACTGCTGCTCATTTTATGGTGCTCTGATCATCCCCCCTGACTACGCTAATCTTATCTTGCGTTTCACGAGTCAACAAATTCATTGCCTAAACTCATCGGCGTCAACAAATTCGTTGAAGTTTCTGTTGTAATTAAAAATAAAACTGAGCTAGGCTCAAGGTTAGCCATCAACCCATTGAAAAGTATAGATCAGCATTGGGCGTAATAGGAAAATGTTATGAAAATGGTGAGTTAAATCGCTTGCAGCTTCGAAAAAACGTCCCGCTTATACGACGTGGGTTTGTACAAGCTCCTTAAAACTCGTTGAAGTATGCTGGTCTACTCCGGGTGACCGCGAGTTTGACCATAAACGAAGATCGTTACTCAGTGAAATTGTGCAAAGCTTGCGTAAGTATTAAGAAGTTTGGTGGTCGGAGCGTGCAAACCAGTTGAAAGCAGTAGCCGCATCTGGTAACTGTCGAAGGCTCTGTAAACTCTCTCAAGTCACTGGCAGCAAGATATCTGGTGTGAGTGAAACAATCTGTGAAGCTGACGCGATGCCAATCAGTAACACCTACCGAAGTCTAAGACAATAGGAAGAGGTTTTCAAGGAGCAGTTCAACTGGTCTGCTGCCCCAAGCACGTCGATCGGATTGTCCTATTCTTCATGGCTGGTGACGACTGATACACCTAACGAAGCAGAAGTCCGCGAGGAACTCCGATAGCTAAAGCTCCACAAATCACCAGGCTCAGATAACTTACCTCCAGCCCCTTTTAACGACAGTTTCAATCTTCTTGTTAAGGAACTGACTGAGTTCTTTACGAATTTCCGGCAACTAGAGTGTTGCAACATCGTGTAATGTGTCGGTAATTGTCACAATCTTCAACAAAGCGTCGCGTTGTTTCTGCAACAACTATCGAGGGATAATTCTGCTTCCGACCGTGTCCAAACTATTGACTTCCGTCACACTTTGTATATTGTTCAAAAATAGGAAAAAATTGACTCACGAGAAACAGGCTGGTCCTCATTCTAGTCGACGATGCACTGATCATATCTTCACCCTAAATCAAATTTGTTACAGGCTGACAATCGTAGTGTTTCTTGACATTAGGGTAACCTTCGATACGTTGGATGGGACTGTTCTCTGCGATTTTCTACTAACGAAGGATGTCTGAGAAGTCTACTAACATTTTTAGAGCTCTATATAAAAATATCTCAGGGGGAGTGAAGGCATACAACCACGTCACTCCATTGTTTTGTTCGAACAGTGGGATTGGACAAGGTTGACCAATCTCACCATGTTAGGCGACTCTCTGTTTTTGATCCTCGTTGTCTCCAAAGGATTGCTGACATCTAGTGACAACACTATGTTAGTAATGTACAAGTACGGCAACGTGTTCGAGTACGGTGGCGATAATCCAACTGGTGTCACCATCTTGAAACGTCGACTTCGGTCGTTTGAACATGTCCTATTAATGTTGTCCCAGAGATTCCCACATTGTACATTGTTTGCCAATACTGGGAATGGTTGGGAAAAGTGGTCATTGTATGACATAGTGTCGAGGTATGAAATAAATCTGTGCAGGACTGGCTTCTGTCGATCCTTCGTAACACCTCATCTGGAGTCCTGTAGGTGGTGTGACACAGCGGCTTGAGACGTTATTAGGCGTATCTTAGAATAAAAGCCAGTGGTGATCCTGTTGTAACTTTCTTTATCAAAGTGAGAGTAACCTCTTGAACTGAGCGGATTCTTTCTGGTTGGAATTTTCTTAATTGCACTGCCTTTCCCATTACTATTATTGTTATTATCATTATTTTATTTCACTCCCACACACTAATTTCTATTTATCTTCCTTTCTTTATATCTTCACAACCTCATTTTTATTGTGTGGCGCATATATACTTGGTGCCCCTCTGTACCAATGTTTATATATCCAAATAATTAGATATTATAATAGATAGATAATACGTGAAAACAATTATGAAGTGACCACATTTGTTAAAGCCAGAAAAAAAAAGCATATGACTATAAAGGATCTCTGGGTTGTTGAGTGTCACATTAGCCTACATGATTTTAGCTGTTTTACATGTGAAAAACTATTCACTTAAAATCAAAAAACTTAACTGATTCTTACAGACAATGATTCGAATTAGCTCTAAATTGGTCATGATGGCCCAGATACTTTCTATTCTTCGAACCACTTTGTCTAGGACCCATATTTTCTACTTTTACAGATACTTCTACTACTCTGGTATTTGTATTGATAATTTCATTTCGCTCTGCTAATACAGTATGGTAACATGGGGTCAACATACAGATGTTAGTAAATACTTTTGTTTTAATTATACTTCAATCAAACTTTATGGAATAGAAATCTGTTTACAAATTATAACATTACAGATTACAAATAGATAATCATAATAAGTAAAATAGATCAATTTGTGTCAAGGTCAAACTTATTAGTCAAGAAATACAATGTTAAATTCATTTTATATTGTTTGTTTGAATCTTCCCATTGATCAATCTCTTATTGGAATATGTGCATCCTGTGCGGATTGCCTCGATATTACCTTAAGTCACAAGCATTTTAAGCAAGGATGAATGGTAGCTAGCAGTGGAATCAAGGAAGCGCGTTTCGTTCCAGTTGAGACTCATCAGTTGGATGTGCCTGCATCCCAGAAGCGAACGGTACTGGGTCCGAGTCCCAGATTGAACATCAATGTTAATTTAAGAAGACTTAAAACGATAAAATATCAGGAAGCTGAGTGAAAAAATATCTATTTTATTGCAAACAAAATGAATGTGTAAAATGACATAACATTTTTAAAATAATTCAGTTGAAGCCGTACAACTGTTGGTTTCTAACTTTTACATTATTTTGAATAAATCACCACAGATAAGGGTGATTTCCTAACAATAATTGATGTCGTTTGAGGTTTATTTCCAGCTTAGGTGGTCGGTTTTTGTTCATCGATGAAGGGTCGCAAACTACGATGAAACAATTGGTTATTAATGTGACCCCCCACCCCACCTTGGTTATTAATGGCACTTACACTAATTAATATTAGTGTCAATGGTAAAGACCATCAGCGAAAATGTAAACAGCCAGAAAAACCTCTCGATAAAGCTTTGAAAAGTTTCAAAAGACAGAAATAAATATAGTGTTTTTTCACTCTCTCTCTCTCTCTGAAATGACTAGAAACAGTTTGTCTAATATAGAGGAGAAAGAAAAGAAGGAAAATGGATATAATAATGTAAATTGTTGATTAGATTTCTTATTTACAAGACCAAAATTGTTCATATTCTTTCAATGCTTTACGAAAAGCTCCCGTATGCACACCATTAGGTACGTGATGGCTGTGAACACCTAGACTTTTTACTTCTTTGATATTCCAGTGTAGATCATCGAAAAATATCATTTTATTGTATGGAATTTTAGTCTTTCGTTGAAGTCTGTAAAAAAAAAGAAAATAAATTAGATGAATACACATGATAATGTATGATAGTGTAATATTGGGCACTAATATAACTTTGAAAGTACCGAATTTGCATTTTATGATTATTTGTATGCTCTTTTATAAACTGACACACATACAAACACAAGTTGAAAAAAGGATCATTGTATTTAACAGTTTAAGTGTCGTACTCGTCATATGACCGGAAGGTCCCATTCCATGTGTAATTTTAAGGACTTGTAAACAAATATGAAATAGCTGTCCTTATCTAATGAGTTCTTCAGCCCATGTCAATCTTTTATAAGTTCTTATAACGGTAAGAGTATTATTATTATTATTATTATTATTATTATTATTATTATTAATGGCTTTATTCTATATTATAATCTGGTACAATATAGAATTCTCAGCACGAGTTAAGGAGATATTATCCATACTTTTTAGTGTGTGATTATTAACAGCTGGCTCATGAGTCTTCCTTATTTCAATAATTTTAAGATTATTTCTGATCCATAAATTGTCGTTGTATCTTATTCTATTTTCAAATGGTTGTAACCTAGTCATGAATCCATCAAAGTGTCTTCATTTTGGCACATTGTATTTTATAAGTTATTGTGATTAGTGATTCATGTACTTTGTTAGGTTAATAGATTCTTCAGATGCGGACGTTCCTCCCACTATGTTCTTGCTGTTCTCCTCATTGGTTCAAACAGGAAAGTGTGTCTAAGCAGTCAGTCAACGTCAACCCAGCAGATTACTTGGTCAGTTATTAGAGTAGGCTGCCCACAAGGTCAATTTAATCATAATCGAATCCATACGTGCTGTCGCAAGGTTGTAAGGAGTAGCCTAGTTTATCGAAGGTAATAATAAACTTCAAATCGATTTCCTTGCTTATCCAAGGTCAGCATACAGTTAACGTCTTCGAGCTAAAAGAATCTAAAAAAAGCATTCAGCTTGGCATTAAAAATAACTGTTTACCTTTTATCGTCCAACCGAAGCAAAATTGTGCGGTCTTAAATTGAGAAGGACTTCAAAGTCACGAGTTAGATCGCAGGATAATTCAAAATTAACTATTTGTTTGACGGTAATGTAACTCACCAAATATAAGCAACACCTTTCATGTAAAGGCTAGTGATAGAAGGTGGCTGCCTAAGCCCAACCAGACAGTGCAGAATATAAAACTGCTACCTAAAATTGATCCAATTGGCTGTGATAGAACATGCTAACTAATCCACAGTAGGTAAATACAGATATTAACCGATGGTGATGCTACCTTGACCGGTGATCGGGTTCTCGCGTATCATGATAACTGAGTCGAGCTCCATTGGTTCGAGAGAGGTAAGACTAAAAGCAGGGAACTTAAGGTCTTACGAAAAAGTTCTACTGTAAAACGTACAACATAATATTGAAGCTGAAGACTTAGGGGAAAAGCAAAAATGAATAGATCTGCGCTATAAAACATTGTAATCAATTCTACACCATGTTATCTAGTGTTAGGTTTGAATAACTAGATTCAATTTCTTATAAAAGATATTACAGCCAGGAAACAAGGTTCATGCATTCACTATCGAGTAACACATACTAATTCGAATTATCTGAATGCCTAAGCCAAGTTGACATAGTAACTGAAAATTGAGTATCTCAACCTGTAAACTAATAGTTGGCTACACACACACACACGTCACATTAGTTGAAATATTTCAGAGTAATACTTGATGCTAATTGGATCAATATTAGTCACATTTACTTAAAGTATTATCATGCTAAATGAGAATTAAATTCCTACACACAAAAATAAATTGAGTAATTGCAGACAATAAAAGTGGAAACAAAATTAATGTGATTCAGTTTGAAAAAGAACAATACCGGTAAAATCGAATACACGCTTTCACTGTGCAAAAAAGAAAAATATATATATATATGAAATAGAATATAAATACTGTGGTTATCAGTGAGAAACGCGCGTTTCGCTCTACTTAGGACTCATCAGCTGAATGTGTCTGATACATTCCAGTATTGATGTCTACACATACCAACAATGACTGATCGAAATTCAGTCCTGAATATCAACAATGAGATTATTTAAACCCTTAATAATAGTGACAAGCTTATGTGATGTTGGATAATGTCAAATCGCCGAATCATATGTAGAGTTTTACAGCAAGCATTGCTATTATGTAATCATCATATGAATACATACCACTAACAACATTTTTCGTTAATCATCATAAGTTGTTTCTACCTTACTGGTTTGTTTGACTGCATAAAAAGTCGCGTAAAAGTAAAACAGGAATGATTTAAGGATCAAACATGCGGATAACTTCTAAGGTCACTTTTTAAATTTTACAAGTATTGTCCAAGAAAGAGACAATAGAAACATGATCTAAAAAGGAAATTCCTGGACTCTTTTGGTAAGTCTTTTAATTTGTGATTGTAAATACTTATGTTCCATTACAAGAAGTGATATTGAAATGAGATCTGATAGTCAGCTTTTGGTTTGTTTGAATAATATTTTACAAAATCTGGAATCATCAATTGTCTAGTCTTTGAATTGCTTTTAATCATGTATGTGTTTGACAGTTTTGCGTACATGTAGGTCATTTTTGTCGAGAGCCTTCGATAATTCCTTAGAAAAGTTTACAGAAGCTAGGAAATTGGTGAAAACACTTCGATCAAGAAGTGCTTATTAGAAACTTTTAGAAAATGCCTAGAAAGAAGATTGATTACCACCGGATTTGTTACCAGTTTTAATGTTTTCCAGAATCTTTTAGAAACTAAAGGTCATATAATAACCTTATTTTTTGTATGGAAACTAGATCAATATAATCCCTTATTTTCTGTTCGTGGTTCAACAGTAAAAGACTTCTGATAACGAAGAAGTCGTTATCAGGGCTTTCAGGTGAGATACATACCAATTTTACAAAAAAACACTGCATGTGTTGTGAACATCTCCTGATATCAGTTTATTTATGGAGTTGCCTTGATAATTTAGTCTCGTGAGGGGTTATGAGTTAAGGCAAAATTATTTCTTTATGAATCATCTATTGATTAGTATTCCCTACTAATCATTTTAATAAGTAAAACACGTTGCTCACTATTATTTGAATTCTAAATAATCCTTTTCTATAACAAAGAAGGAATTGAATTGTTCGCGTTACTCATACTACTAACATTATACACTAGATTATGTGATACAGACAGTCATTACATTATCCGCTCCCAAATGCCCTGGTACGGCCGAGAGTGGGGAGAGTCTGCTCTCCCTCTCGAAATGCTCTCACATGGCCACGCGAATATTTAACCTCTGTCAGAGAAGTCATACTCACTGCCTTCTCGTGGCTGGGGTGTTGTTTACCAAATTGAGAGGACGAAAAGAGAATGTCCGGCGCTTTAACCGGGTTGATGGACACGGAAAGTCCACCTAGGGGAGTTGGAAAACCCTCATTCCAAACCAATGGTGCACATGGGCTCCAGGATCCTGAGGGAACAAATGGCGTATGAACCTATTGTTGGTCACCGGCTACCATGAGAATGCATCTCCTTACGATGCTCCACTGCTTTGTGGACTAGACCTTTAGGTCGAAGGCTCCGGGTGTGGTCCCCTAAGAAAACCACCTGCTTCAGTCTGGGCACCTGAGCAGTATCACAGCCCTCACACAAATCGAATGAGATTTGTGAGGCGCATATTTATCTGGTGCTTTCTTGTACCAATATTTATGTGTTTAAATAAATAATAATCCGATAGTTCGATAGAGAATCAAATTAGACCCAAAAAATGTTTACTAACACAAGTAAAAAAGCACTCGATACGTAAGATCAAAATGAGGTGAACGTTACGATTTAAGATAGTCCTTTATATTTAGTGTAGCTGGACACATCTATTTTCAATAATTGATCAATCACATATCACTCTGACTAAATACACTAATAATAAAACCAGTGAACTTGTTATACTTACATAAAGTATAAAGCATAACATAAATATTCGTCATGTTATATCATATCAATGCATTTTATATAAGAACAATGAGAGATGAAATTAACAAGATGAGAGGGTGATTGAAGTAATTATTTAAAGCGAAATGCACTGGGTTCGAGTCCCAGAGTGAACATCAACTCCGGGATACAGGTACATCCAGCTGACGAGTCCCGAATAGGATGAAACGCGCGTCCCGGATTCCACTGCTAGCCACTATCCATCTTTGCTTACGATTATTTAAATGCGTTTTGATTAATTAGGTCAACAAAAACTATGTTGTGTTCTGTAGTTTGTTTTAGTTATGATGTGTACTTCCTACGATATGTCGAACGCACTATGTAGACGAGAAGACTGAAATAAATATGGAGCTTTAGTTGTTGAACCAAATTTCAATGTACAAAAATCACAGGTGACATATATGCTTGTCCTTATGATAAAAACAAAGAAAGTAGGCTGTGGCCTTGAGCGAATGCATAATTAGGTTCCTTTAGTAGAATACCTGGTTTGTAATTTTCCACCTAGAGTTTGACCCTGGTATATTATGTGAGGATATGGGGAGTGTCATGTTTATACTCACAGTCAGTCACACTGTTTTTCTTAGAGTTAACGAATTTTAATGCACATACAGCTGATAACTGATATTTCTGATACCGAAACGCATAATACTGTCTTTCTAAGAGGTCCCAATAAACCTAACTGGTTTTACACTTTAACTGGAATGGTAAAGAGAAAGCTCAAATTGCAAGTAAAAGCTTTACTTCAAAGTTCGTTTATGTACAGAAAAACGAAAGTATTTATAGAGGTACGGGTGATTTTAAGCTTCTGGCAATTTTTGGAACCATATTGAATAAAGTAACAGTATAAGTAAATATCCAATTAAAATTGTGTCAAGTGATTCGACATTTTCTAGGTGTATCTGAGAAACTTTTATTCAACCTTAATTGGATGAAGTTTCTTGGCATTTTCTGAGCCTCTACAGACTTCGACGAGAGATATTTTTGAATTCTCCAACGATATCGTATCCATGAACAATTTGAAAATCAGAAATAACAATGTGATTGTATGAACTATGACCAAAATCTATCAACCAAATAAAAGAACAAAACAGTACAGTTGACTGATCTGAACAAACAAGTGCAGCCAAATCGAGTACAGGTGTTTAATGGATTCAATCAAATTATCTATTTCTAGATCAATCTGTGACAAATACAATCTATCAATTAAACAAAACTTTGAAAAAAAAACCTCCATCTAAACTACAATAGTCAGGGAATCAGTGACTTGCTTCAAGGTGTTACCATTAAAGATTAGTGAGAAATTTTGACTGGTGAGTTCAGATATTGTCAGATTGAAACAATTGTGACTAATGATATTGGATTATCATTTCGCTACATTACAATTTAGTTTCGACTAAAGTTGTATCATTGAACGCCGGTAGTAATTTTTTATCATACCACTATGTAATTTATTTTTTGCTTGGCAAACAAATGTGTCATTCTAATCTGACCAAGTATTTTTCGATATTGTACATAAGTACAGTTTCTTGTTAACATTTTACGCCTATCGTAATTATTTTTTGGGCTTAACTACTTACCTGCTGTGGTTACAAACGAAGTTGATAAGGAGACACATACTTTTATAGCCCTTTAATTTGACTCCAATTAGATCGTATGATGATCTTATTGAAATAAACATTCCGGCTACCGTCGTTCATAATTATCGACTGAATTCACTTTAGAGAATAACAGAATAAAATTAGTAAAATACGAGAATGAATTTTTGAATACGCATATTTCGTAAACTTGTTGATCCGGATAGAGATTCAGAATGAAAAGTGAGAAACCATAGAGAAACAGAGAAGGCGAGTGAGCCAATCCAATTTGATCAAGCGCGACTCAATATTTATAGCCAGACAAAAGTAAGCCACAGACATGTGATGAATAGGATAAGTAATGCACATGCAAGCTTATATTATGGCGGCCTGCTTGAACATCTGAACTAGCTGTTCCTGCCATCTAGATATTTCAACAACTTATTCAAGTCTGCTTGTTTTAATACATTATTATGGCTATTAACTGAATAACTTATTCAGGTGAGTTTCTGAAGTGTATAACTTTTCGTTGTACAAGTCACAAAAGGCCCAAACAGAGATATCGTGGTTGCTGGCAATATACAGCGAAAAGAATGTACATTATTTAGATGTCGATTTACTGGACTGCTAACTTCTAGCTGGTGATCATTTAATATTTATCGTCAGGATCGATCAAGAAGTAAGAATCGGAAACTTGTTAAAATATTTTGTGCTGAGAATTCTATATTGTATTAAAAATATAATATTGAACAAAGCTAATAATAATAATAATAATAATAATAATAATAATAATAATAATAATAATAATAATATAAAACAGTCAAAGTTAATAAGCGAATAATTAACAAGGTCAAGAAGAATGAATTAGTCGGTCTGTCGGGAAGCCAGAATAACCCATGTGGGCTTGACATGGTACCAGACACTACGATACTTCATTAGCCTTATTGTTAACCATTCGACATAGAGTCAGCACTCCGGATAATACACCTGGCTAGTGATTTTAATAGTAAGAAGTTTGATGAAGGATATGGAAGCCTCACTTTCGATCCCCGATGGGTTCATCGGTGTCCACTACTAAGGAATCCCATACCAAGACAAAACGGATGTTTAGTGCTCCCCGATTTTTGATTGTACCCCAAATGAGACCAATATATTATGAACATAACCTACGTGTCTAATATATACTCTTGGTGTACAACATTAAGGGAAAGAGTTTATAATAACCTAATTTAAAAAGTTACCTTCGTAAAATCTAAAAAAAATAAAACAGTAACCATACTACATGTATGGGATCAAACCATAATATTATTAAATCTTAATAAAAACAATTGTGTTCACTGAAGTTTCCAGTTGGGCTACGATAATTGAAAAAGATTGAACTATCCCTAATACGAACGGTCCTATTGTGAACTCAATAATGATAACTGGCAAACAATTTAACATTTACCCATGAGCACATGAAAGAAAAAGTCTCAGAAAAACTTGATATTTGAACAAAACAACTTAAAATAGTACAACTCAGTAAACATAGTAATGAAAGCACGAATCTAAAGAGCAGAAAATTAATTTGCTAAAAGTAGCAACAACAACAATATAGACTGAGTAATCCCGTGATCTCTTTAGCAAATATATAAGATGAATGGATAATAGATACAAATGAATTTTATTACTATAACTGGTACTCATGAGTAATTTAGCAAATGATAATACTCATAATGACATGTATATAACCACTTTACAATGATGAAAAAGCAATAACTGTTCTATTGAAAGACAAAAAAAAAGTAGCTTTCACAAAGAAAAAGCCCACATGAATCATATCATTACTAATAAATGTGATTTGTTCTTTTCCAGAAAATTAAATAATCTTCAATAAATACCATTACCCCTTAGATGATATATATATAAAGTTAAATGTTATCACTGGGTTTAATACAAAGTATTAAAAAAAAAACGGTTTTTCCTACTATCACACTATGTGTTGTCAAGTGACTTTAGTTTGATTATAACAAAAAACAACAATAAATATTTAGATAACTTTTATAGGTAATTCAATCATTAAAATGTACGTTTAACTGAAATCTATTCTATTGTACTTTAATTCACTGTTGAATATGAAAAAAATAAAGAGAGAATTACCAAATAACTTTTAACTTCAAAGTATAGATGCTTTTGCCCCCAAATGCTCTGGTACGGTCGAAAGTGGGGAGAGTCCGTGATCTCTCTCCAAATGCTCTCACATGGCCACGCGAATATTTAACCTCTGTCAGAGAAGTCATACTCACTGCCTTCTCGTGGCTGGGGTGTTGTTTACCAAATTGAGAGGACGAAAAGAGAATGTCCGGCGCTTTAACCGGGTTGATGGACACGGAAAGTCCACCTAGGGGAGTTGGAAAACCCTCATTCCAAACCAATGGTGCACATGGGCTCCAGGATCCTGAGGGAACAAATGGCGTATGAACCTATTGTTGGTCACCGGCTACCATGGGACTGCATCTGCTCACGATGCTCCACTGCCTTGTGAATCAGACCTTTAGGTCGAAGGCTCCGGGTGTGGCCCCCTCAGGAAACCACTTGCTTCAGTTTGGGCTCCTGGGCAGTATCACAACCCTCACACAAATCAAATGAGATTTGTGCGGTGCAATATTTATCTGGTGCTTCCTTGTACCAATATTTATGTTTTTTAAATAATAATAATAATAGATGCTTTTGAATTCGATTAATTCTCTAGTTGTTATAACTTGTAGCCGAGTAGATGCCCTGTTAACGTATGATGTGTTAAGATCGCCAATCAGAGAGCAGCGAATTATCGATTGGAACAGTGATACACGAAAACCGTACGAGCAGTCTGGAGTAAGTATCGGTCCTGCTTTCTGCTTAACTTAGCCAGTTAAGTCCAGAGCACCAATAACAGCCTCTGTAATATGAATCATTTATTTCAAACATACTGGGTTTATATTGCCAACTAGACAGACCACATCGTACCAATAAAATAGAAAATAACATTTTTACAATATTTAGACAAATGTGGCTGTAAGTGTGGGAGGCAGTAATCAATACACTGGGGATAAGTCAAGAATGGTAAATTGTATAATGATAGTCTGTAGGTCAAAATAAAGCTTATGATACGGGGAACATGAATATGAATAGTTTAGTTATTTAACAATTATACGATACAAATTATATGCATAATATTGGTCCATAAATGGATCCCAAAGTTAAAATTCACTATTGTTATCGGAACATAACACTGGTATTTTTCTCTTTCATTTTTATTCACAATAGCTCATTTCTAGATCAAATTAGTAATTATTATTCTCAGTGCGTTAAACTATTTATTTTCGACTGGTTAATTAACCAAAGTGATTTGGAATAATCCAACATGTATTTGTATGGGGAAAGATGGCGTGTTTTTATGGGTTGAGATTTGAAAATCTCAGCCTTAATGTGAATTTGAAGTTTCGTACCACCAAGTGACTTTAGTTAAAACTACCACTGAAAACCAGGAAGCAACAAACAGCTGTTTCGTCTTATTGCGGGACTCCTCGACAATCTGTATCCACAACTGAACAAGGGATCAAACCCATGACCATCAACTATAGTAGTGGGCCCGTAACCTTCAGATCACTGAAGTTGGCGTCCAGCGGTCTATAGTTTGAGATCAAGCCAATACGCAATACTGCGCGACTATCATCCAATCCCACCGGCGATATTTGTCTTAAGCTCAATATCGTTAAATACCACCGATCATCGCTTTTTCATTGGAACTTCGTAAATTGCCACTCGAAATTAGTCACAAGTAGACACATGGTGATTGTTATTATAAGATTTCGTGGAGATTGTTGAAATTGCAATTAAACGTAACGGACTTTTCTTAGACTACTCCTGAAAACCATGAAGCCCAATTACTGACGCCTGTTATCCCTCATGGAGGAGCACAGGCCGCTCATCAGCATTCCCTATCGAGCCAGGAAGCACCAGGTAGCTAATTTGTCCTAGTATAGGAATCCTCAGCAGTGTACATTCACAACCTGTGGATTCAATTTCAATGTCAGTAAAAAATTTATATATATATATATATATATATATATATATATATATATATATAAATATATATATATTATAAGATAGATTCAAACTTACGTCTGGAAGTGAACAATTTTACTGTTTGGATATATTTCCATATGATCGAATAATTTATCCCAACCATTTAGGTGGACTAACTGACGAGCTGTTTCCACCGAAGGGGTCCTATATTATTATTTAGGAAAAGTAATAAAATAACTAGTGGAGATCAGGACAAAATAAGATTAAACTAAACTGAATGTCTTGTACAGTTCGAAATAATGGGAAAATAAGGGTGAACAAGATAAGACCACAACTTTAATTGCTATGGAATATGAGCGTTCCTGGTGTTAAACTAGTCAAGTTGAGAAAACCAATGATGACGGAGGTATTCATCTGTCAAATACTGCAGAAGACGTCGGCGAAACCAAGTAGTAAATTCTAAGCAGAACTATCGGATTATGTGAATATATCTATTAAAAAAGGTGAGTTGTCATGTTTTAAAATCAGTTAATCAGTGAGCATCAAAGTAAAATCTATTGCGAGTGTGCATCGATGCATTTCCCACATATCGGAACAACATAAATCTTAACTCAAACCTAACTTAAATGGAGAAATAAATATGAGATATGTATTTTAGAGTCATTCAACTATAAGCAGTGTAAAGCTAGGGACATTTATACATTAGTTTGAGCTATCATGACACATTAGTACAGCGAGATGAAATTATTAGGACCAGTCCTAAAATAATAGCAGTGGTCAATCACAGACAATATGACTCCAGAAGCGAGAATAAATGTATTATTAGGTATTATTACCATGACTTGATAATTTCGAATAAATTGAGCATTAGGTAGATTGTTATAAATAAATAATATATTTGTAATATCCTAGTGAGTAGAAAAATTAGATTTTCTGACGTTTCGTGACTCTGTAAGCCAACCCTTCAGAGGATAAATAACCAAATCAAAATTAATCCAAGGTCATCCCTGACCTTGCACATACACAAATTTATATACATATCGCTTATGAACCACCTTGACAGAACATGACATTGACTTGTTTAGACCTGTTTTTTGATTGATCGCACATAATATTCTTGATTTATTTCTTTATGCTATTTAAACTTGGATTAATTTTGATTTGGTTATTTATTCTCCGAAGAAGTGGCTTACACTGAGTCACAAAACGTCAGATCTATTTTTTCTACTCATTGAGATGTTAAAAGTTCAGAAACTTTGGAGATCGAGGAATACAAAGTTAAGGATGGGATCTAACTACAAACTTAAAGGAAGATAGACAATAAATACAATTATTCCACTGAGGTAGTTTTTATGCCGTATCGCTTAATATCTCCAACCCCTGGTTGTGAGTGTTGCGCAAATTATAAACTTCTAAACACAAAACTATTTCATGACTTCTGCCAAACATCAAAAGCTTAAAAATAGTGTTAACAGTATCTTAGACTAGTTATTTGGAGATTTTTGTTGATCTTAATCTAAGATCACAGCAACGGCTCCATCTACTTCAGCTTCGACAACAGGACAGTATCACTAGCCTTTATATCAAAATTGTGGTTTGATTCTAAGTACATGAAATTAAACTTGGTTAGTGAACTAAATTATGAGGACCAATAACTACTAATTCTGTATACTATGAGTTTTGTTGAGTAGCTTAGTTTCTCTACATAGGTTCAAAGTAAACATCACCGACTTTATTGACTGACGCCATGTTTTTATTCAAGCTAACCTTAATTATACTTTAGTTTATCTGAACTTTAGCCATGGTAAACTTTGTCAGCACACAGAAGGCATCAGATATTGGTTAATTTTCAGTGTAGATCGATAGGTTTACCTCGATAACCTAGTTCGGTAGCTTAAAAACAGAAATAAAAGTCAAAAACTAATAGGAAGAAAGTAGGTTACAGTAAGACGATCAGATAGGGAAACCTAGTAAAATGAGAATAAGTAGATATACAGCAATAGTACTTTTAAAAGATTGAATGATTAGCACGTTTATGTTATTGTCATCGACTTCCTAAAAATAATATTTACAACCAACACCTTAAATTATGATGGTTTTCTAAATGATACATAAGTGGATTAAAGCATTTGACTTAATCATCAGGTTGTAGGATGAAATTTAGTTCCATCAGCTTCGGTTTTATTAGCAGTCTTTACACGAAGTCTATGGACTGAACCGAAGAGGACTGATCCGTCCTTATTTAATAAGTTGTACTAACTGGGCTTCTAAATCCAAGAAGTGAATTTGCTTTTTTTACACAGCTTATTATAAAAGACGGCGAAATATTTCATCAGCAGTATTCTGAAAGTTCTTCACTTTGACTCTATCCAAACTAAGTAATGGCTAAGAGTAGGTAGTACATTTTTCTAACCATTCCCATCGATATTTATTTATTTATTTAAACACATATATACTGGTACAAGAGGGCACCAGATATATATGCGCCGCACAAATCTCATTTGATTTATGTGAGGGCTGTGATACTGCCCAGGTGCCCAAACATTTCACTCACTATTAGTTTTGAAGTTGTTGTTCAATGGTTTAGATGGTCGTCTACCAACAGCACTGGAAGATAGTTACGAAATATCGAAGCTAGAAGTGTAAGGCTTTAGACCCCAACCTAAGGGTCTAGATGTAAATCACTCACCACGAAACTTGAAAGTTTCTGGTGAGGTCACAGATGGTTATTGTTGAGAGGTCCCGTCCTAAGTCAAAACATCTGTCCATTGCTTCCTAGTTTTGTTGTCTAAAGTCAGTTTGCGATGTACACTAAGAAACTTACCAATCTCAACAGACCAATTTATACTAATTCATATACTACTCTTATTATAATGTTGAAATAAAACTAATTAACATTTGAAAACCAAGAAACTTACCTTGAAGCACATGCCAATAGTACATCTTTTTCTCGCTTGATAGATTTCAATATATTATTTGAATCTTGAAGTACATTTAGTGGGTAATTATTTTCATCATAAATCATATCACCACTATTAACAATGATAGATGAACATAAGAACTTACTTTTTATGAAAAACTTGACTATCGTAAATGTCACAGTCAAACGGCCACAATGTACAATCTGTCGGCTTTGTATCGCTTATGTAGCAAAAGAAACTAACCCAAGTCGAATACGATAAGTTCAGGCTTGATGCTTATATCATCAAACAGTCTTTCAGTTGTCATTGATCACAGTAAATCCATATTGATTAATTATTCAGTTAAATATAATTTGTACTGAAGATTTTCGGGATGACTGAAAATTTTTTAATTCTTTTATTTTTTACTGATAATGAATGAGAAAGTTGTTTGTGATTTGGAGTCTTATTATGATCATCTGTCAAGAACAGGTTTGTGTACGCGGTTTAAAGTAACGACTTACGTGTGATATCTGATACTACTAATCGATTTTTTAATTACAAGAAGGTGTATGAACGATTGGTATAATGGAAATAATTATTATTATAACCAATTGTATTAGTGATCGTTTTACTGTACCTGTGTCTAAGTGTAAAAAACACACTTTCTCCCGTTGCACAAACTCGCATACGCTCGGTGGTTCCGCTTGTAAACTTTGGCACGATCTCGATACCACGAGATCGCCAACAAATACATCTTATTGGATTCATCAACCGACTTCTGGTTTTTTGGCATAAGGAGGGATCCAACCCAATATCTGGCACGTAATCTTTCTGTAGTGGTGATCATAGTCAATCTCAACTCAACGCCAACTACAAAGTATTAGGATTACAGTGAGACCCAATGGTTAAAATTTAAATACTGTAATCACTTGACCACTGTTTCAGCATGATTGAAATTAGAAGCCTAGTAGGTCGTACAGTTGAGTTAGAACTGTGGAAAGAAACTAAGTACTGATTTTAATTGAGGTTAGATAGTAAGAGCCGATATTGTATACTCGCCTCGACTAGTTCTTATTACAGAATGATAGCAGCTTGAATGGTGCCATATTTTATTGACTATCGTTAGCTGACATCTTCCGGAAGAATTCGGAGGTGTATAAAAATTTGGGTTTTTGAGGATACAGAACATATTTCAATAACAGCGATTGAAAATTCCCTCTTACATGAAGTAGGAATCTTAACTATACGAGGCGTAATATGATTTTGGGGGAGCTCCTATAGAAATTTTGCAGAAATGCGACTAAAAACTTCAAAATTTGCCGTGATATGGAGTTTTTTTAGAAGTTTAAGTTATTTAAAAGAAATTGAAAAAACCTTTGAGAAAAAGTTGAGTTCTTGCCAACATCTTTCAAGAAATTTTTAATGACTAGGGAAGTCCATCTGTTTTCCTTGACAACCTACCTATAGATATGTTGTGATTCTGTCAGAACCGACGCAATTTATATGCTAATGAGTGACTGAAAACTTCCTTACGAAATAATCTAGCCAACACGCAACTAAAGCCAATTCGTTCATCTATTTTTGCACCCAAAAACGTAGCCATAGAGATTCGAAGCTTTTTTAGTACCAGGCCTAACAATATACTTCTAGCAAACTGAAAGCCTTGGCTCATCTCCCAAATTGTAGAGGGTGGCAGGAAAATTTTGGCCACCACAAACAGCCATCGAATGAAATAACATAGACATAGTTTAGCAAAAACATGTAAGCACAGCGGAAATGTAAGAATAACTAAAACTACAGTTCAATATAAATAGTACTATCTCGACTGAAATCAAAAGGTGAATGAAATGTATATCTGAAGGAATCAAGCGGAATAAATCACAACAGTGTGTATGCAGAGGTAGTTTCAAATACTAACCGCCCAAAAAGTCTTAAGATGAGGCTACGAAACAAATGACAACACACTCAGCACACTGTAGATCACCAACGTAGATTATTTATGTCGAATGATTGAGGGCTTACTAGAGTTAGACGGGGGCGATGTGACGAAACCAATAACGTAGAAGTCGCACATCGCGCTCAGCACCTTACGTGGATTATCCCGTCGACGAATCAAAAGACTATTGACACTTTTAATACTGTGCAACACAAAGGACGTTATTACAGAAATATATTAGTTAAAGTAGATACAAGCAAAAAACCACAGCCTTATGGGCGTACTATTAAACGATGCGCGTCGAATGTCCTTGACCCTGACAGTGATCGGTGATCTGTTCAGTCTTCAGTCTTCAGTAATAAGGATAGGAGGTCTAGTGACCTATTTTAATCCTTGCAGTTTGTTACACTGTGGAGGTCCAATCTCGTCTTGAATATGTCAACAGAAGGTGCTGATATTACGTGTTCTGGTGGAGAATTCCAGTAATTCACTACTCGGTGCGAGAAACGAAACTCCAGACGTAGACGATTTGATCTCGGTTTTTGGACTTTCTTTGAATGTCCTCTCAAATGCTCAGCCCTAGACGGGAGGAAAAGATAGGACATGTTAGTACCAAGGTCATCGTTCAGGATACGATATGCCAATATTAGATCACCCGTATTCGCCGGTAAGATAACGGAAATAAGTTGAGGTGTCTCAGTCTATCTTCATAAGATAGGCTAGATAAGCCTTTTACCATTTTTGTCCCGCGGCGTTGGACTCGTTCCAACATATCCGCCTCATATTTGAAACAAGGACTCGCTGCTTGAATCCCATATTCCAAATGTGGCCGTACGAAAGTTGGATATAATAATCTAAACATTTCCCCATCCAGATACCGGAAAGATCTACGAATAGACCATAATGCCCTATAGCCTTTTTCAGCAGCAGCCTTACAGTGACTGGTTGTTTTGAGATCATTACTTAGTATGACTCCTAAATCTTTATAGTTTTTTACTTTGGGCAACACTAGTCCACATATTGTGTAGTGATACGAATCATCGTAGTTATTTAATTGCATCACAACACTTTTATTAGGGTTTACTTCTAGTGACCACCCATTCATCCATGCAACTAGTGAGTTAAGATCTTCCTGTAAAACTATTCTGTCTGACATACTATATATGGGTCTCCAAATCTTAATGTCATCGGCGAATAGTAGGACGGATGACTTAACTATAGCTGGTAATTCATTTATATAAAGTAAAAAGAGAAGAGGACCTAAAATCGTGCCTTAGGGGACGCCACTTTTTACTGGTTCCCACGATGAGAGAGCCCCATTTACTCTTACCCGTTGTCTCCTTTCATGAAGAAAGTCACTTAGCCAGTCTATGACTGCATAATGAATTCCAAAACTTTCTAGTTTCAATTTAAGACCAGAATGGGAAACCTTATCAAAGGCTTTACTTAGATCTATGAAAATGACATCTACAGGAATATTGCGATCTTTTGCCTCAGCCCAATCTTCTCTTACAATGAGAAGATTTGTCAAACATGATAGACCTTTTCGAAAACCATGTTGTTCCTTTGACAAAAGATCATGTCTTTCCACGTACTTTATAACAGCCATCCTAATAATTTTTTCCATTAGTTTTACAACTGCACTAGTTAAGCTGACGGGTCGATAGTTACTAACTAAATCCCTACCCCCAGTCTTATACACCGGACTGATTATTGCGTCCTTCCAGTCTCTGGGCAATCTGGACTGCCGTAGGGACATATCGAACAGCATCGCTAAGGGTTCAGCAATAACATCTGAGAGGGCTTTCATAATCCGAGGATGAATATCATCAGGACCACTAGACTTATCAGGTTTGAGATGCTGAAGTAGGCTTAAAACAGATTCTTTCTTAATAACTACAGGGTCCATCAACAAGTCGCCACAATCGCAATGAATAGGTGATCGTTCCTCATTATTGGTAGAAAAAACTTTACTGAAATATTCCGAAAAGGCTTCCGCTTTTTCGGTATCATTTCTTGCGAAACTTAACGGATTTTCTTGTATCAAAAGTGATGGTATTCCATCACTTCTTTGAGTTCGCCTCTTTATGTACGAGTATAACCGTTTTGGACTATGTTTGCAATCCCTAACCAATTGTTTTTCGTATGACCGTCTAGTCTTACTAATTAACGCTTTACAATTATTTCTAATCTTACGATAACTAGATCTGTACTGTTCTAAGCCAGTAGAGATGAACATATTCCAGTGTTTTTTTTCTACACCTAAGGAGTTTCTTAACTTCTTTATTTGTCCACAGTGGACTATTGTTCGGTCTACGTGGCACCAAGTATGGTATAAACGGGGACGTGACTGCATTAAACTTGCCTTTAAATACAGACCACGCCTCACCAACTGATGAGCTAGTATCTACTGACCAATCTATCTTCGTAGCACAATCCTGAATTTCTGGTATGTTAGCTCTCCATATGTTTGGGCGAGGCTTAATCTGATCGTATATCATATCGCTAGCTCTAAACGTGAATGATAAAACAGCGTGATCGCTATTTACTAACGGGGGAAGAATATTTAGGTTGGCAATATCCTCAGTCTCATGGGTAATTACCAAGTCCAACAGAGAAGAACCTTGGTTTACACCAAAACGTGTAGGTTTGGATACATGTTGTACTAATGCATGTTTCATTACTGTTTCCAAGAGCCTGCTATCAAATGAGTTTATAGAGCATTTCGTGGTCATCTCAGTCCAACTAATGTCAGGTGCATTAAAGTCTCCTAGTATCAAGCATCTGTTATTTGCACTCCATAGCCGAATGTGCTCTAAAACAAAGTCATCAGCTAAGCAGATTGGGCTGCGATAGATGACACCGAGTGGAAATGTACAACATCCGACAGTGAGTTCACAGCTAATGACTTCACTAGTTCCACTATCATGGGATTCGCAAACGGAGGAGCGGATATTTATACTATGCATACTATGTATAGAAGGACGCCACCTCCTTTCCTGCATCTATGTCTATCACTTCTTAAACAATGATATCCAGATAATTCTGGGGTGATATCGAAGTCATGGACTAACCAAGTTTCCGTCACAGCTACAATGAGTGGCCTTAATTTGTCCACTAATGTTCCTAGCTCGTAGAATTTATGTTTTAGACTACGGGCGTTGGCATATAAAACTCCTAGGGGGAACGACCTATCCACACAGGCCTTGGTAGCATTCGCTTCCAAGACCTGACTATTCGAAAACCCACCAATCGGAGATTTTCTTCACCGTTTTGTCGACGGGTTTCTAGTTCAGCTAGTGCCGTCTTCCTTTTTATTCTATCTTCAAGAGATACATCCGGTCGCATTCGAATGTCAGAGTTGTCGTGACTTCGAGTGTTACTTAACA